AAGTTATTATGCTTGATTATGTCACTGAGTGTCCTTAACCTATTCTCATTTTTTTTTTTTTTGATGATTCAGCCTAGTTGCTTTCCAGTCCTGTCTTCCAGCTCACTGATCCATTCTCTGCCTCCTCTACTCTACTACTGATTCCTTCTAGTGTATTATAATTGCACATAATTGCAGTTATTGAGTTATTGAGTTAATCTCTGATTGGTTCTTTTTCCCATTTTCTATCTTTGTTGAAGGTCTGAGATTCTCCACTCTTCTCAAACCAGTGATTATCTTTATGACCATTATTTTGAATTCTTCATTGGGAATATTACCTATCTCTTTCATTTAGCTCTTTGGCTGTATTTATGTCCTATTCTTGTCTTGTTCTTTCATTTGGGACATATTCTTCTGTCTCCTTATTTTGTCTAACTCTGAATTTGTTTCTGCTTATTAGGGGAGTCAGTTATGTCTCTTTATGTAGCCTTACAAAGAAGAGGTTCTGTGGTCCCCTGTTCACCTCAGCCAGGAGCTTCAGGGGGTCTTCTGTGCGGACTGACTAAACCCTACTGTTGCGGCTGAGCCTCAACAGTTTGCCTTCAGTCCATTCGGCTGCTGTGGGCTGCGTTTGGTCCCTATGCTAAGAGTCAGTTTGGGGTGGTCATGGGCTTTCACTTGGGTGGTGTTGGCAGTCAGACCAGATGCCGGCCCTCTGCCTGTTTGCAAGGGCTGCTGTCACACTCAGCTGTAGGGGTTCTCTAGGTGTTGCCCTGAGAAGCTTCTATTGGTGGACAGGGCTGGCAGTCTGGCCAGATGGCTGCCAGCGCTACAGATGCACCGATCCATAGGGCACTCACCCTGCACTGCTGGTTAGAAGGTTTGGCTGCTGGGACTGAGTGTACTGGGGGTGTGTGGTTATCTTCCCCTCTCTGTGGGGCGGGAGTCACTCTGGAGAAGCAAAAGTCCCTGCCAGGGCTGCTTCTAGGTTGGGTCCTGGTGAGATCCACTTTGGAAGGAGTCCTGCCAACTGAGATGGTCTGGATGGGGCAAGTCCACAGGAGAACGCAGGGGCTGTGTGTGTGGTGCCAGCAAGGTAGCTGGAGAGTGTTCACCCTGTTTCCTACAGGTGGTCCAGGTGGGGATGGAGGCAATGGTACCTGCCTGCTCTTTTGTTCTTGGAGAAATCTCCTAAAGAGCCCAGTCTCTCCAGCAGCCATTCTGAGATTAGTAAATAAATCTCCTGCACACATACCCTGGTGCTTTTCAAACTGCTGCTTCTCTGCCATATCTCGGCGGGCTTGTTTGTTATGCTAGCTCTTTAAGGGCAAGGACTATTTCCTATCCCCCTCAGCTCTCTTGAAGCTGAGCCACTGATTTTTAAAGTACCTGCAGTTCAGCCCAGCTGGTTGTTAAAAACCCACAAACCTGAAACCCACTGGTTTTCAAAGCCATCTTCCATTGCTGGTCCCCCTTGTCTACTGTGCCTAGTGTGGCATCTGTTCTCAGTTCTCCAGTGCATGGGGTGTCCCTCCTGTTTGTGGTTAGTCTCGCCAGGAATTTAGTTCCTGGCCATGTCTCCACCCCTCCTACCTTTTTGCTATGTCCTTCTCTCAACAGTGAACTGGAAAGTCTGTCTTGCCCATCTTTGGGGTGTTTTCTGGGTTGGATGCACTGATGAGGCTGTCACCTGGTTGTGTCTACGGGATAAGGTGAGCTTAGGATCCACCTACACTGCCCTCTTACCGGAAGTCCTCCAGGTGGGTTTTCAGTCCCATCTTAACTGAGGCTGCTGTAACATTAGAGTTTCGGGAGAACCACTATCTCCCCAAATTGATAAGACACTTTGGCAGAGTTCATGGATCAAAGTTTGAGGTCCCCAAAATGCTCATCAGAACCGGGATTAGGGTGAGGTGAGCAAAGTGCCCGGGGCACCGATGGAGGGGGGAGGGGGCTGCTGTACCTGAGCGTGAGTGTCTCCTTAAAGTCTGCACTCTGCCTGATCGCTATCCCTCCCCCCACACTCTTGTCCTAGTTTTAGGGCCCATGATGGCTCTCAAACTATTTGTTTAAATTCTGACCGAGAGTAAGAAACACATTCTACATTCAGCCAGTATACACACATGTGCACAGAGACACATCCACACTGGAAAAAGATTACAAGTCTAACAATACCAGTCTTACCTTTGGAACACACCCTGGTATTTTCTATTCTATTCTATTTTACAAAACTGCTTTTCATGACCCTTTAAAATGATTTTTCCAATCCACTAATGAATTGCAAGCTGCAGTTTAAGAAGCTTTAGTTCAGTCGGTGCTCAGTATTTTAACATAAGGGCTACTTGAAAGGATTCCAGTGACAGCTAAAAACTTTCACCCCTGGGCATTTTTCATGATGGTCTTCATTGTGATTGACAGAAGTACAGGGGATCCTTTACTACTGATCTTGCTCTAATGGGACTCTGGGGGCCACAACAGGAAGCCAGAGCCACCCATGGTAAAGTGGGACGCCCCAGGACCCATTCCACATAAGCCGCCTTTTTGAGACACGGAAGCTTCCTGAAATTCCCTACTGAGTGCCTCCCCGTTAGGACAGGGAGGAAACAAATATGATGGACGTGTGGCCGTCAGCTCACCCTCCACCTCAGTAACTGCTCTGCAGTCAGGCCACACAGCCGTCAAGGTGTTTACGACACTGCTGCTGTTGTGACCCTGAATGGATTGTCTAGCTGGTAAATTGTTTTCCTTAAGGACCTAATAGCTCCCAACACTCAAATGCTGGTTTTTACTGTGAAGAGAAGAGGACGTAGGAGACACACAATTTAGGTTTTACAGCTGCAGGTATTTTGGATGCAGTTTATACTGCCTCCCACGGCAGGGCAGTCGGGAGGAGCAGAGTAGAGACTGACTACAGATGGGGAGGGAGGAGAGGTCAGGAAGGAAAACATTCCTGCCGAGTTCATAATGGTAACAGAATACTCCTTTCTCAGGAAATTGTACTTTTCAAATCATGTATTTTCAAAGCAAGAGTACCCTTTTTAATGAAGCTTCATTTATAAAAAGATCTAAGCTGAGATGTAGAGGTGGCTCAAGGCAAAGCTGGGGCACCCCCTGTCCCCACAGCTTCCATCCCTCCCATTGCCTAGCTCCTGGGACCCGGGCACATAGGACGCCACTGACCAGGGCTTATGCGCTGCCTCACGAGCACTGTCACATTCATCTCGGCCCTCAGTGAAAATACTTTCCTAGTGAGGACTAGAACAGCTTGGTTCAAGATTTGAATGGGGGTGGCGTTGGGCAGAGATACTGACCATGTTCTTAACTGTCAAGTGGACTAGGCAGAAAAGATGGGGGAAAAAAAGTCACACGTATTTGGAAAATGTCTTGCTTCTAAAGTGCTTTTTGGTGGGAGTTGTGGATTTGTGGCAGTTTTCTACCTGGCTTGCATACTGTTGTGCTGCTTTTCAAAGTGAAATTTATGGCTGGTCCTGTGGTTCCAAAACCTGTCTACTGAACATCTGTGTGCGCATAACTGTGACGGACAGATTATAAAAGGGAACCACAGATTCAGGCTGCGTTTGTCATCTGCGTGAGTTCAGCACTTCATACCCCAACTAAGGGCAAAAACATCCTCCCTTCTGGTGAGGACAGCATGGGTGGGCCTGGCCTGCTGCTGTGAAGTCTGGGGCCATAACGCTGAGCCGCAGTTGTGCTCTCTGAAGGAGAAGGAAGTACCGTATCAGATGCATGTAGTTGGGTGATGTCTATTTTGAGATTTTTTTTTTTTAAACAAAAATGTGGTGTTTTATCTTGCCATTTGCGACGACGTGGATGGAACTAGAGGGTATCATGCTTAGCAAAATAAGTCAATCAGATAAAGACAACTATCATATGATCTCCCTGATATGAGGGAGAGGAGATGCAACATGGGGGGTTAAGGGGGTAGGAGAAGAGTAAATGAAACAAGATGGGATTGGGAGGGAGACAAACCATAAGTGACTCTTAATCTCACAAAACAAACTGAGGGTTGATGTGGGGAGGGGGGTTGGGAGAGGGTGGGATTATGGACATTGGGGAGGGTATGTGCTATGGTGAGTGCTGTGAAGTGTATAAACCTGGCGATTCACAGGCCTGTACCCCTGGAGATAAAAATATATGTTTATAAAAAATAAAATTAAAAAAAAAAATGTGCTGTTTTAAGATTTAATCATCTAGCCTGTATTTATTCAGAGATGTAGCTTCCATGGAAAGGAAGCAGGAATATTTGGATAAAGTCAGTCTTTTCACTTTCTTTCAGAATGAATTAGATGTTTTTGCACTGTCATCTCTAATGTACCACTGCCAGAATCTGTCTGTTCATCATGGAGTGCCTACAGCCATGATCCACAAGAGAACACGTCAGCCTGTCCCTGGGCAGTGTCCCAACACTGGGGGCTGCCGCACTCGGGCTGACTGCCCAGTTTGTGGTCTGTGTTTAATAAATGCCAGGTATTAATATATCCTTACTTTGGTTAGCTCTTAGAACAATCTATAAGAAAGAAACTCATTTACTATTTCAGTGGTGAGGGGACTCAGAGGCATGAAGTCATTTGAATGAAGTCTTGGCCTTGTAAATGCTCTATTCAGGGTTCAAACCCCTCAGAACTGGGACTTCTGGTTCTAGACCCTATGGCTCTTTTCATGATCTACCTGGGGCTCAGGCTCTAAGAGCCTCAGGGCAACAGAAAGTTGAGGGTCCTTTCTCTGACACACAGGTGTCTTCAATTCTCCATTTATGTGTGAACTGGGATGGAAGATTGAGAAGACCACTTGTTTCTCAAAAACATCCACTGCCTTGTTTCTTGAGAGTTGTTCAGTCTTTTTAAGAATCTTAATTAAGCACCAGTGATCCTGGAAAAATTCTTCTCCCTATTGCCAGTATCCCCAAAAGCATGGCTTAGGCTGAGGAAGAAAGTGAGTCATAAATGACCCAAGTGGTTTGTGTATTAAGGCGCATTTGTAATTATCTGTGTGGACATTACCGTGTTCCAGGTTCTCACTGCTTTCGTAGCATCCTGAGTCTCGTGGAGAGCATCCGCTCAGGCCCTGGCTGTCCACCAACAGTTTCTCCTGGGATCCTGACTGGTCGCTGTTACCTGGAGAAGGTAAACACACAGCAGGGAATCATAAAGGGAGGGAAAAGCCAAGGTTTTCCTGATTTTATCCTGCTATCCCTATACGTTTTTAGGCCTTGAGCTTCTGGAACAGAGCTAACTGTTTTAAAGTAAATGAAATAAAAATGGGGGAGCTCAGAACAGATTTTGTGCAGGTCATTACCCAGAGGATGGCTCTGGCTTCAGGCCAGTCAGGAAGAGGGAGAATTCAGAGCACTGTGTGGGCAGTCGGGGAAGCTTTCTGAGGGATGGTACTATGGATTGGGAGCCAAGAGTGAATATTCCCCTTTCATAAGCAGGTTATCTTAAGATTTGTCTTCCAAGTTATTTGTTACCAGCTTTCCCAATTTGGAAGCCAATGTGAAAGTAAGTGGTAAATGAAATATTGAATTTTATTACAATTTGGGAGCATTCTTAGGTCTTGGCGATAAGCGCTGGCTCTCATATTCTCTCAACAGGAGTAAGATTGGCAAATGGGGACATGAACCTGATAGGGGCACATGTTAAATCCTTCTGTTTTTGTTGTTTGTAGTGTGTTTGGAGGTTTTCTTTCCTTTCTGCCCTTTGTTTGGGGTCAGCATTTCTATTCCCTGTGTACAAAAGTAAGACAGGAAAGGTTCAGGAATCCCCCTAACTGGGACACTGAGTCATGAACACTCTTCAGGCGGGTGACTAAAAGAACCCTTAAAGAGAACTACCATGCCTAAAGTCAATCACATGGGAAATAAGGAGGGGGGCCTTCATCACCCAGTGACATCACCCACCCATTCTACAGAGTGGGCACATAAGACCTTACAGGGAGTGAGGTTACAGGAAGAACATCTTTGTATTATTATGCAGAGAAAGTACTTGGTCACATAAAACAGAGACCAAAAAACATTTTCTACATAAATGGCTTAAATTTATTTTCTTTTCTCTTCATTGCCCTTCCCCCGACCACATACATTTAAAAAAAATAAAACCCCAGAAATCTGATCCTGTTTCTCAGGTCATTAAACAATGAATTGTAGGAAGGCAGATGACTGCCATTCCACAATGTGCCAGCTGTCCCTCCAGCCCACTCTCCACTTCCTGTTTGCATTTCTCACATGGAAACCGTTTCCTGGCACTAATCATGGCAGAGTAAGCCCCTGAAGTAGAACCCCAAGTTAAGAAGTACTATTTTTTAAATGACTAATGAAAAATTAATGGAAGCACAACAGCAAAACCTTCCCCCGCACCATAAAGTGGAACATTCTAGAGTGATGTCCTCATTATGTGGAAGTGTCTGAGGATTTGAAGTGGCCTTTGTCCTCGTCTAATATGTTATTTAGGAAAATGATACATGTAAAATGAGGGCTTTCAGCTATCAGTTACAACCCAAGAAGAGGAATCAATGTAGTTTGTCCTTGGCGAGACAGTTCACTGTACCGCCGCAGCCAAAACAGACTCCACAGTGCTGACTGATGGGAATAAAAGAGAACACTTGCCCCTGTTACAGTATGAAAATGCCGACTGTGTCTGCATCTTCATGGCTGCCAGCCTCACCAGACACAGCCAGGGTACCTGAAGTTACGAGGAGTGAGGGGATCCCTCACATTACCTGAAAACCAGTTCAGAGGATACAGTTCAGAGGCCTACATCAAGGGGCTATGGTCACTTCCTGAAAGATTCATTCAGCTACTTAGCAGGAGTCCAACTATCAAGTTTAGGGAAAGTTCCTCACACTAAAAGCCAGTATTTACCAAGTAACTTGTCCTCCTTCATTAGGGAGAGCTCTCAGATGGATGGCAGATTCAAGGCCATTCCTCTCCCCCACTTACTAGCATGAATGCCAAGGTATAAAGGAAAAGAAAGAAGGTGAGTTAGGACCATGAACATTCTCATAGGCAAAGAAGCTCAGAGGACTGGGTTTGGGGGGCTGAAACCCTGTGTGGGCATGACCTGAACTTGGACCTGAAGGGACTTTCGGTTAAAGCCCTCCTGCATCTCACATACACACAGGGAGTAAGAATAACCTTGGGAAAGAAGAGGGAATGGGATTCTTGGATGGCAGGCCTTTCAGTGAGCTTTTAAACAGTTCCTTGTATTCTTTAAAAAACTGAAGCAAATAGGCCAAACTGTTAGCTGTAGTTGGATTTAAGAAGTAGATATATGGATTTGTTTTTTCTCTGTAGTTTTCGGTATATTAGAAATAATTGCTGATTAAAATTCTTCTTAAAATTATCTAACAAGAGTTTTTATTTGGCAGGCTTAGGACAGTGATTTTGGTGTCATTGCAAGGAAATGCTATCAGACAGTCTTTTCCAAGTGGAACTCTGCACGAAGGCCTGCACTTCCATGCACAGATGAGCAATCAGAGTGACTGGGAGGTCTGCCTGCCAAACGATGCTGGAGATGTGCCTCTTGCTCTCGTGAGTAGCTGAGCTAGAAAAGCTGTAAGATCTCAGTAGATCTCTAGATGATCTAGTGCACAGAGATTTAGTTTGCCAGAAATCTATGGTATTCCTTTAGGTTTTTACTTTTTAAACAAAATTTAACTGCACTGAATGTAAAGTCTTATAATCCTAGGATAGGTCCGGATCCAGACCATTGGCACTCATCAGCACCCCGGAGCCCCTGAAGCCTTTGAGAACCAGGAACAGGAAGGGCTACTTTGTAGATTGGGGATAGTCTAAGCAATGGCCCAGCACAGCTCTGAAATGGTATTTATAAAGAAGCAAAGAGCCCTCCTTAGACTTCTGAGTATGCATCATGAAAGGCAGATTCCCTCCTATAAAATATCCCCTGGTGCCAACCTCAGGACATGCTCCCAGGAGGGGCAATGAATCTGAGCCCATGTGGCAGGAAAGAGACGAAGCCCAGATCCATCCTGTCTTATCCTCAGTGTGTAGCTTTGCTCCCCCTATGCTCTAAATGCTACAGGAAACATAACAGATAGGGTTCATAAGCCAGCTCTTCTCAGTGGCTGAGGAAGAGCAAATAGCAGAGCAGATGTGGTCCAGGAGAGTAGACGACTTAACATTGATATTAATACGTCTGGCTGGCCACACCAGGCACGGGGCCAGAAGGCTCTCTGTCCACAACCAGGCCACATGGCCCCACCCCAAGAGATAGCTCCCCTCCCAAGAGACCTGGTTATAAAGTAGGATTAACTATGAAGCACAATTCTCTTCTGATCTATCCTTGAAGGCAGTATGTTTATCTAGGGTTCAGATACCTATCTAATGGTGTGTGGTCCTCAGTGTTTCTCAGTTAATTCAGGGGGAGGACCGATTAAGCAGAAGTGAATTTAACTGTACTCACTCACTTCTATGTCTCCTGGGCCTGATACATCCAGTCATGTAGACTTTTTTCCCCACCATTAACTATGGTTTTGGTTTGTCTTTTAGCAATAGAAATGCTATTAGCTGGTGAAGCAGAACATTTGAAAGAAAATGCATCTGAATTCAATAACTAGAAAAGATACTCCCCTCTTGATGAATAATTTCAGGGGTATTTCTGATGTCATGTTGGAGAATAAAGAGCAGATAAGACTAGGTTAATGGAGCAGAGGATACGGTGTATTCAAACAGACTGTAAAAGCCGTGAGCTCACTGAACTCCCCACCATGGACTGTAAAGCCGAGCTCTCGCCTCCGCAGAGACCGTAAAACATGGGATTCTCCGCTCTCCAAGTTCCCCTCAGGTAGTTCCCGCTGCTTCAGGGGAAGCTGATGAGTGTCATTTAGTCCTAAGCCCTCCCCTTTGATAAGGGAACAACTCTGGAGTGCTCTGAGGAGGGACAGGCCCTTGGCTGGCAGGACGCTTGCAGTGCGTCTGCTCCTTTGGTGCCCTGGCAGCCCAATGACCTGCCGTGGAGCCCACCAGGCTGAAGGCCCCCTCTGCCGTGTGAGGACAAAGGAGAGAGTGTTTCCTCCCATGTTACCTAGAAACATGCCAGGAGAGGCACCAGCAGGAAGGTCTTCTTTTGCCCTCCCATCAACCAAAATGGCTACATGGGGAATTCATGCCTTTGTGCCGTTTGACCTAATGCAAGACGGACCCTGGCCTGTGATGGAGCAGGACCAATAGAGTGACTCCAGGGACCCCAGCATGTGGCTAAGCTAACGAGGGACGCCTGGGTGCTGGGAGGCACTTACTATCATATTCCTGCAACAGCTCCACTGCTGTCAGGAGAACAGCCCTGTGCTCCGGGTCCCTGATATTTAACTCATCCAAGTCCTCCTCCTCCAGGAGCTTAAATGTGTCCAGGTCTTCGTACCCATTGAACAGGAAAGTGGGCATGTGCTCCTGTGAGGGAAGGAACAGAAGACACGGGGAGTCAGCAAGTGCTGCTCTGGGATACTTGGCCAACACCTGGCCTCAAAGCCCTGAACCCTTTCCGCAGTCACTTTTGTGCTAACTGGAAGATTCGTAACACTCATTCATCATCTGTTCTGTACCTCCCAGTTGCACGGCTTAACAGGCCGGCGGGGCATCTCATAAATCATGGGCTAAGAAGCTGTACCTTGTAGGCTGAGATGGACTCCACTGGCTCACATTTTAATTGGGCCTTTGCCCTGACTGATGCCTTTAATGCCACACAGTGAACCATGGGGGTCACTTTCCCTTCATTTACAGAGCTACCAAAATCCAACTCAAAGCCCTGTGACTTCCTCAGGAGCAAGAGAATTTTCAAGGACACAGGATCTCCTGCTGGGGCCCCAGCGCACTAGATCCCGGGAATAATGGGGTTGGGGGGCAGTGGGCCACTCCTCAAGGCCTGGGGGGGCCCAGGGCTTTGTGCTCACAGCTCTTTGAAAGCTATTCTTGGGGCTAGCAGCACATTCTGACCCGGGACTTGGGTGGTCCCCCCAGCAGAGGTCAACAGCAGCATTAGCATACTGGTACCTATGTCTTTCGAGTAATGGATACTCGTCCTAGTAATGGGCTGCCCTGCTGGATGACACCGATCACCCCCTCCCCTTCCCGGAAAGTGCCCTTGCTTAATTTAGGAAAAGGAGAAGGCAATAGGGTGCCACGTGTGACTGGAACAGGAAGAAGCTGACTTTCAGGTTGATCCGATCCAGAAGATCTTCCACAGATTTGGGCTGGGGTGGTCTTCCTTTCCTCCTCCTCCTGGTGGGGCGCTTAGGCTTTTCTTCTTCCTCATTTAGCACATCTACGTAGATGAACTTGAATGTGCCGACCTTGTTATTCAACAGACCCATCCAGGTGCCCATGGGTGGCTTGCTGATTATATCGATGATGTCTCCTTTCTGTGGCCCAGGAAACAGAGATCTTTCCATTAGCTCCATCTCTAGGCATGAACCATGCATCCGTTACATGTGTTCATCATCACGTAGAAGGGAAGCTACTGAAGGCCAGAGTCAAGGTTCCACAAATAACTCTACGTAACTGGGAGCCCGGCAGAGAGCCAGATTCCTTGCATGCCTGAGGTCTCCTACCCTCCACCCCATGCACCATGAGATGAAGTGTGGCTCAGGTCTGTCCTGGTGCTTTTGGCTATGTGGGCACCTGGCTTTCTGGACACCTGGCCATCATCCACAACTCCCCCCTCCTAGAGAAAGATTTTCCACCCACTTAGCAAAGGCCAGCGCACTCCCATTCTGGAACTGCTTCATACACTGTGTGCAGCTCCAGCCGCCCCGTTAAACATCACTGGTCGGTCACACAGAGAAGGCAGTAAAGTTTTTTCAGCTAGACGAAGAAAATGGAGGGTGGCGGGCAACTGAGTTCTACAAGGAAGCTGAGGTCACAGGTAAGGGCTAGGGGAAGAGGTGGAGATGACAAGAGGAGTAACACAAACCCTACCTCTGTTGTAAGTGCTTGTTGGGTCTCTGACTTGTTTTTCTCTACAGATGAGACCAGTTTATCACTGTGGCCAAGATACCAGCATGCACTACAGGAAGCCAGCATTCAACAGCAAGGAAAAGAGATCACCTCTTACAGACACGGAGAGTCGCTCTGAGGCCAGGCAGAGACCTACCTTGAGCTTGAGTGAGTCCGTGTCATAGGGACTAGGCGTGAAGTCGGTGTGTACCCTGGCGCGCCCACAGAACGGACCCCGGTAGGGAGGCTCCTCGTCATCACCGTCTTCCGACTTGACGCTTTCCCTGTTGCTGGTCGAGGAATCAGTGGTACTTACTGTCTGACCACCTGCACAGGAAAAATAGGAAGAACAAAGGTCAATACAGACTTCCGCACAGCAAAGCTTAAAGGCACAAAACTCAGGGACAGAGCAGGGAAGTCACAAACCACAAGCGTATGTCAGGATCCCAGCAGGGCTGGGTTAGGAGGCCAGGGGATTCGAGTTTGCTGACTGTTATCCCTAATCAACCACCTAACTAGACTGGGAATCCAGCAAGTTCTCTACGAGCCAGACTCCCTAATGGAGGACACCACAAGCCTTCCACAGTCCTAACCTCTCCAGCTTACTGTTTTTACCCCATTTTACAAATGAGGAAAATTCAGAGAAGTCAAGGAACCTGCCCCAGACCAGCTGCTTTGAATTACTCTCTTCCCACACCCCCCCTTCCCAGTACCCTCAGCCGACAGAGCCGACACCCCCGAGAGTCCTGGCGTGAAGAGCACTTGTTACGTGTATAACATTTATAATTCTCTCTCCCCACCCGCCTTTGGTTGGTCCTTATTTTTTTTTAAGGAATTTATTTATTTGACAGAGAGTGAGAGAAGGAGAGAGAGCACAAGTGGGGGGAGCAGCAGAGGGAGAGGGGGAAGCAGGCTCCCCGCTGAGCAGAGAGCCCGATGCGGGACTCGATCCCAGGATCCTGAGATCATGACCTGAGCCGAAGGCAGAGGCTTAACCACTGAGCCACCCAGGCGCCCCTTGGTTGGTCCTTTAAGGAGCCTTTCCCCTTGACTTGTTCCTCTCCCTTCTCCAGACCTTCCTCAGAAGTGCTGTTTTCTCCAAAATTCATCACCCCCTCTCTTGTGCCCCTGAACAAACATGCCCCTTGGCCCGCCTAGTTTGCAGGTCTGTCTCTAGCGCACCCTACAGGTTGGAACTTGGTCTGACTCCTTAAATCGCCCCTAGACACTCGGCAAAAGGCTGATTTTGATGCCAGCTGCAAGCACATATAATGATAAAGCAAACATACTCATTGAGCTCTGCCCGCTCAGAGAACTGCGCAGACTTTCCACGGACCCTCCGGCTTTGAGCTTGGGCTTGTCCATGTGTTCACCGTCCGGCTGTGAAGGTGGAGGGGAGCCAGGCATGCCGTCGAGGCCCGAGTCCTGGAATGGGTTTCAACACAATTAAGTTGCGTCAGGGTGCACGGACGTCATCTCACAATGTGAGGCAACTAACCCTCTGCTAAGGCAATCACAGCCATTTTTGTAACCATATCTGATTCCATACCCGATATTCTTTTTAATCTATACCCTCGCTTCAGTTGAGATTTGTGGCTCACATAACTCAGTCATTTTTCATGCTCAGATAGATTCTCCTGAAATCCCTGAGAAAAATCTACCTCTGAGAACATTTCATTAAAGGCTTAGAGACTTCTAGTGTCATCTCAAGGCTAGTGATAAAGCTGCAGTTTGAATGCAGATCAAGTACAGTCTACCTGTAATGTAGTATCTGAAAGTGCCATCAGAAAATATTTAATCAGAAATGCTTACACCTAAAAAAGGAAAGAAAAAGGCCAGATTCTTTTTCTGTTTACATGAATTCTTGAAATTAGCTAACGAAATGCCAATTGGGAATACAAATAGAGCAAAAATACCTTTTTTTTTTTTTTGGGTAATAAAATTTCTCTCTGTCATCATTTGGTTTTTGCTGCTTTTATTCCATTGTGTGTTGTTAGTACAAAGCTGTGAGGCCCCTTTTGAGTCAGGATGCTGACAGTTGGGACTCAGCAGTACTTTTCACATTTGGGGAGGCTACGTAGCATTGGCCTGGCAGCCGGTCACTTGCACATACAAGTGCAGCACGCTCGTGTGCCTGATGGTGCTACAGGGACAGACAATAGCACGCTTCACAAAGTCTTCAGTCCGCATGGTTTACTTGCCAAAACTGACCACTTTCTGGCGTATTCCACAGCCACGTGAGCACAAAACCATCTCAGCGAAACCTGTTATTTACATAGTGCTGAATCATCAGAAGGGCTCTAACGCAATTCTGCGGGTCCTGCAAACATTTAAGGACAACAGTAATGGCAGCCTCTGATCCACAACACTTCTTTTTTCCTTAAAGGAAACTCTAAGCCCAACATGGAGCCTGAACTCACGACCCTGAGATCAGGAGTCCCATTCTCTACATACAGAGTCAACCAGGTTCGGGACAGGGAGAAAATAACCCCCAAAACAACTATAAACGAGCTGCCGTCACTGAGAAGTAACGGAAGGTACCAAGTATGAATTCCCACACACATTCTCATTCCTCTTCCTGAATCAGCAAAGGAAGTCACCTGTCCCAGTTATCTTTTTTTAACGCTTCTGAAAACAGCACACATTTTGAAAAAGAGCAGACATCTCTGATAAGGTATGTTCTCAAACGCTTTCACTCACTTATTCATCACGTATTTACTGATCAGCTACAAGAACGAGTGCTGTTCTAGGTGCCAGGCATGCAGTAGGAACAGAGTGAAGATCTTTACCAAAATTGCTATGTTTCTACCAAAATGCTGAACAAAGAAACAAAACCTTGGCAACAATAGTTTTCTCTCTCCAAAAAGGGTTAGGCTGATCGTTTATTCCTTTCTCCCCCCACTTATGTGAAATGACTGCTTTAAAAAAGAGAACAAAGCCTACAAGCCTGCTAGAGAGTAAAATTATAGAAAACGGCTCAAAATGACATTAAAGCTCTATGCTCCTGATCTGTAAAGCAGAAACCCAACTAAGAATAGAAGTGTACAAGAGCTTTTAGTGGATGTTTCAATTCACTGGAGAAGCAAACTAAACGAAGTGCTGGAGTTTCATGGTGCTGCTTTCTGGGACCGGCAGGCCATTTGCCTCAGGAGTGCACAGTTTGCCCAGCATGACCGCTGCTCCCAAGCCCACAGGGACAAAAGGAAAAATATTCATGGAGAGAAGACATACAGGAGGCAGCCTAGACTTCCCCCTGGAAGTCTAACAAGCCAGAATTTCTCAGCCTGAGCACTGTCAGCATGCCGGATGGATCACTATTGTGGGGAGCTGGTGTAAAATGTTTCCCCACATCCCCATGTCTTTCCACTCGATGCTGGCAGCAGCCCCACCGCCCCACCCCCACCTGGCTGTGACTATTAAAAATAGCCCCAGTTGCTCTGGGATTGGAGGGGAACTACCCCCCCCCACCCCCCGTGAGAACCACTGTAATATGCTGAAGACACCCTGTGGGCTTTGTCTGAATCCCAGCGCAGGCCACTGGCTAGCTGCTGGTGGTGATGCCGGCAGGCAGATGCCTGGATGTTAGCTTACTACTTCCACCAGAGGGCAGCAGCTGAGCAAAAATGTCTGCTTTCCCTGTCTCTATTTGGTAGATAAAGCAGCATTACCTACTTATTTCAAGTAGACAAACATCTCACACAGAGATACTTCAACAGACTACAAAGCGAATGCTATAAAGGTGCAAATGGTCAAAATTACCTCAAGGCCCAGCTCTCCAAATAAATGCCTTTATTCCCTCCACCCACACAGGAACTCGTCCTATTTCTCCTGATGAAGGGAGACAATCGGAGGGGGTCTATGCTGTGCTACCTTTCTGGCCACAGAGAGGCCCAGTTAGTGACAACGCCCCTGCAGAAACCACCACCGTGGGCAGCCCTGCAGCCACAAGACTTGTGGAGTCAACCCTCTCGGAGCTTTGAGAGCAACTTCTGCTATACCTTTTTAAAAAAAGTCTGCTAAGGAAACTTGAGTGTCTTTTTTAGCTTTGATTCGGGTAACACCCATTTTGTAGCAAGGAATATTTCCACAAATAAAACTCTTTCTTTGCATCAAGTGTTAAGTGCTTATGGCACTAAGAATAATCGTTTCTTTACATGTCTTCTTCTTGTGTGTCCATAGAAGACAGGGCCCAAATCGTGGATTCCCAGCACTGAGCATGAACCACTCTAAGTGACTGAATCTTTTGAATAAATTATTGAATAAATGTCTATCAGACCTAAGCATGGTCCTAGAGCCTGGTTAACACCGATGCATTGTGTTTAGCACGTATCGGATCTCAGACTGATCGTCCTCGGCTCGGCTCTCGGCTCAGGAGTTACATACCTGTTCAGAGACTGAGCTGCTATATTTTTTAGACATCCTCTTCCTCATTGTCTCTTTCACTGATTTCACCTTTTTCCCAAGAGAGATGCGGGAGGCAGTGGGTGATTTGATAACTTCCTTGTACACAAAATCTCCTTCTTTACTCTGCAAAGCAAAGTGTTGTAAGTACCTTTAACCACAGACAAATGACACCCAGAAACAGCTTTTATTATTCAAACCATTAATGTTCTACCTCTCAGAAAAATATTGGCATCCCCCAGGATCTTGAAATGCCCTCCTATGTTAACTCAGTGCTATGTTACTTGTCTGTCTGATTGAAAATTAAAAGCTACTCACTGAGGGGCTTTTGCCCGTTTGTTTAAAGTAGGATGTGAGTCACTTATTTTTTTTTAACCTTAGTGTATTCTTCTCTGATGATACTTTTCCTCATCATTTTAGATATCCAAAGGGACTGCATTTCACTGTTAAAGAGTGGTTATATTCACATAATCCTGGCAGGGGGGAAGAAGAGGAGGGTATTACAGAATCACCCCAGGAAATTGAAAAGAACAAAATGGCAAATCTCAGTCACCAGAAGTGCAATGGCTGATTGGACTTAATCACTCTAGAGCTCTGTGTGGTCAAGTGCTAAGAGTATGTACATTTCCTTCTCTGAACAAGTTAGACTTGTGGTCACCTCTCATTCTATTTGGCATTAAAAAAACCCCAAACAAACCCAACTTTCCTCTGAGGAGGAAAAAAGAAATCACACTTCCTCTCTCATTTTTTTTTTTAAGATTGGCTATGTAAAATTACTGGTTTATGAATCAATAAAATTTGATATCCAAATAAAATATTGTTATTCTTCCAGGAAATTCTCAAAACACTTTGAAAATCACAGGTGGGTATTTTAGCTGACACATGACATATAAACAAATATAAAGCATGGAATTTTAATTTCATAGTTTCTGACAAAATGCATAAGGGGAAAATAAAACGGTAGGTAAAATTCACCTACATCCTTGGAGCCTCACAAGGGAAACCTCAGGGAACAGAATATGTACACCGCAGGGGTGGCCTGTCCCCACAGTTACCCAGAAGCAGGTTTGAGGCCTCTAGAACCTTGGCTCTGGAGAGTCTGATCTGTTCTGGGCCCAAGGAGACTGGGTTCATTCCAGGGCACCCCAGATCAGAAAGACTTAGACTCCTACAAGGCCGTGCACTTGGCCTGTGGTGAGACTGGTGTCTCAGAAATGCTGGCAGACTCTCACCCCTATCACAGGGCTCCATCCTGGCACACAACCTGTACGTACTGGTCATGTGTACTTGCAACTAGTGTGAACGAAGGGCATGTGTGCTCAAGTGGGTAGGACCGCAGTAGCCAAACTTAACACTGGATTTACGACTCGAGAAGAATGCAGAGGCATTACGGGCACGGAGGCAATCACTGTTCATTCCCCATGAAACAGCCGAGCATCTCTAAGATGGGTACAACAGGGCTTCTTTCCAAACGCGATGTAGGATCACCGATGTTACCCACTATCGTTTCTAAGAGACACTAAATAGGAAACTATGTCAGCCATGTGGCTTGAATCTAAACCTTTTCTGCTGCTCCTCTGACGTACACTCACCATTGGGTCAGAATTGTTGCTGCCGATGTGTAGAGAACGGTTCGTCAAGTCAAATCCTCCAAAACTGCAGGTTCTCTGTGGAAAGGAGCATGTAGGGCAGGGATAATCCAGTTATGTTTATGTCAGCCGACAGTGCACCAACCCAACCCATTTCCCATTTGCAGGTCAATCACTGAATCACAAATATGTTACAGGATGAAAGTAGGAAACAAGAAATGATGAGAAAAAAAATACATGATTCATGTTTTAAGGAAATTTCCCTCACGTTGTCCTTCCAGAGGCCACTGGAACTGGGCTTCCCCCCAGAGGTCTAGAATCCCCTTAACATGCAAAAAAAAAAAAAAAAAAAAAAAAAAAAACCAACAAAAAACCACCCATGTGTTAAGTGCTCTAAGATTCCCGGTCGCTTAGCAACAGAAGACCCCCTCCTAGTCCCCCGGTATTGGCTGCACACAGTAGTGATACGAGGGAATATGTATTAGGGTACCCATGTGCTCCGAGTGGTCTTGGAAACCCAGGCCTGAAATCCTATATGGCTCAGCCACTGACAGCAGGCTTTTCTAAGACTCTTGTTTTGTTTGGTTTTAAATCGCTGAGAAGGGGAAAAAAGGTTATGTTTATAGTAGTCCAATCAGGCCAAGAGGATTACTCACTCACTGCTTCCTTGACCTAGCCAAAAATGCTGCTAACTTTCCCATCTAACTGCCCAACTTAACTAATTATGACCCTTTCACTCAGTGTGTGAAGACACCACATTTGCCCAGAAAGAAAAGGTTGATTCAGTGATCGTTGTTGACCACACTTTAATTCCAATAGGAAGGACACCATGTTATAAAGGATGAAAACCTTCTTGTCCTGTAGTTGGTTTCAATCTTTATGGAATTGCTTATATTTCAGCAACTTTATATTTCAGAACTTGCTTTGAATTCTGTTGTTTTTCCAGTGAAACCAACTCGATGGCCACATCTACCCCCACCCCCAAAAATCTGTAAGACAGACTCAAAGCACATTGATTTTTGTTACAGCTGATTTACTTTTTAAGCAAATGGTAATAAAAGCTGAATAGCAGCTCTGGGTGCCAGTATTTTATATTACTCGTTTCTCAAAGAAATCTAGTTAACAGCTGTTCGATGGAAGAAATGAACAGAAAAGCACAATGTAGACTATAAACATTTCCTGTTTAGAATAAATACACTTGAGATATATAGTAACTGAGTTGAGAAAGCAGAAAGGTCCAGGAAGAAAAATGCCACGGTTTCTGGAATCTCGCCGATGGCCCTGGTCCTGCCGCTTACTGGCTGCGTGATAGGTAAAGGACTTCGAGCAGACTCTCGGAACTCTGCTTCGCCCCCGAGGAGCAGACCTGCTGTGTGAATGCTGGGCTTCCACTTCCCAGGGCTGCCATGAGGATTTGGGAGTTTGTCCAGGCAATTAGCATACTCTGGTTTAGGCTCAGTCACGTTCTAAATATGCAAACAAAGGACTGAAGCTCAGTTCAGGTCCTCACATTCTAGGAGCTTCCATTCCTAGGAATAGACCAAGAAGTGAGAGCAGCCAGGCATGGCAGTCAGGGGCCAGGAGACACAGAAGGCGGCAGGGGACACTCCGGGATAACCCAACTCAGGAGGCCACACGACTGTCCTTCTCCTTCACCAAAGCTGCCATTGCTGTTGTAAGTTATCTACCTTGGACATAATTCTAATTTTATATAACATATCAATGGGCAATCTGATCTCCCTTATAGTAACCTGACTGTATTCTATTCTATAAAACAAGAAAGATCGCTTAATTCCAAAACGCTCACCAAATCTACCAACTTGGCAAGCAAGCTTATGGCCACCTCTCAAGGCTAATTTTTAACGTTTACCTTCCCTTTCTAGTTTCTAATTCCAAATAGATTTATGCATTTCTGCAAAGGCAGTGATTTTCTCCTAGTTCCTTTCCTGTGACTCAGGGCTTCACAGATACAGTATGGCGCCCAGATGCCTCATCATTTTATGGCTTCTGCATTTCCCTTTCAATTCCATCATCGACTGCAACACTGGAGCCCAGCATGTACTTTCTGATGCATATGAAATAACTCAGAAAGAATTCATGTGGAAACTTTACTGCAGTAAATTAGAAGCTCATTTGTGTCTTCGTATGCCAGCTGTAGGCATTTATTCCTAAAATAAAAAGCTCAGAGTGAAGAGTGGACTGGGTTTCTTAGCTACCAACTCTAACCTCTCCCAGTGATATGCAAAGGTGTCTGCAACAGACTCTTTATCAGTGGAGGAGAGACAAAGAATGTAACAAGAAATGTCGCTTGAACGAATCTTCAGCTTTTTCTGTAATGCCAAGTCATTCTCAAAACAGCACTCCTTCAGAGGAGAACACAGACTGTAGAGAGGATCGTAAAAGAAAGTAAACCACTCTTTGCCTTTGGCAATCTACATAACTGAAACCTAAGTGAGGTGTTTTGTTTTAAGTTCCTCCATCTCCTACACAGCTAACAATAAGAAAATTTGGGAGAGATGCTTGTGGATGAGGAGAGCCAGTTGATGGAATGGTCATGCAGTTGGAAACATGTTTTGGGTGGGCATGGGGGTTGAACTTTAAAAATGGACAAAATTCTAAAGTATCATGCATGCCTGTTCCCCCACACAAAAACTGAATGACCAAATAAAAAGCAAGACAGGTGACCATTTCCAGTGAATGTACAGCATTATCATTTCCCTGAGGTTTCATCAAGCAAATATGGCATTTTTGGAAGGACAAAAGGATCAAGTTTAAAGAGTAAGGGAAACTGTGCACTTTCAGATAAAGTGGAGGTGATATGACAAGAAGGATGGGAAGGACTATTCAAGTAAACCAAACAAGGAAATTAATCCCATTAAACCAAACCAAATAACCCCCAAACATTCTGTTGTGAAAAGGCTTATTTCCTTTTACATTCTCTGAATAATTGGAAAATTAAATTTTGTCCTCCTAATTGTGCAGTTATATTTAGATTGAAGTGGTATGTGCAGATTTCTAGTTCAGCACTGAACACATACATCAGCAAGTACTAGAGCTGTCCAGTACTACCTCGGGCTCATAGCACCTTACAAATATCCAGCCTTGAGTGACATCTGGGATGGAGTTTACACAGTGCCACTGTATTTATAAGGCAGGAAAAATCTTGGCGCTTAAAAAGAAACTTGCCCCATGTCCATTCTCAAGGTCAGTGAAGAATTAATCACTGGCCCACAATTACATTAGTACAAATCTTAGAAATATAACTTCGAGAAAGTCTTGTAGAAGTTACATTATTAGCCTGGCAATAAAGATGAGGGACGTGTGAGGAATTCAAGGCACTCAAGGTGGAAAAATTCTCCATATGACATGATTTAAGTTCATGGGGGTGAGTAACCAATTAAGAGAGAAGACGTGGCTCTTATCTGTCAAGGTCATGTGCAGAGAACTGGGCAGAGCCCCTCTCAAGTTAATAAATTATGCCAAGATTGGCTCGTCACAGCATTTTTCTGTGGGTCAGAACTGAAGGAGTGAGAAAGAGAATTCTGTTGTACAACAAACATAGAACCAACCACAAACTATTACCATGACATACAGAAAGAACCAGAAGGAAAGTTGTCACAGTTTTAAAGTGTTAGAAGATCTGAATGAATGAAAAGAGACAGAAAATAAGCTCCAACAAGAAAGTCTGCCCTTCCCCTCTCCTTCCCATAGGACGGACCTATGGATCATTTTGGAACAGGGAAGGTTGCTTTAGGGATGGCACGGACCAATCGGTCTCCATTTCCACAAGAAGAAGAACTCAACTGAATGAACAGAAGTTATAGCAGTTGTCTGGGGAATGAGAAGGAACCCCAGTGAAGTCCCCATGGGAGGTTGTGCTACAGTTTGTTCTGTCAGACCCTTACAGGGAACACAGCCAGCAGTTCCAGTGGATTGAACAGGGCACTAGGAGACCTGGCAGGTGGGCAGGAAGGCCACAGCTCTCCTCATTCTGTGCCATTTTATATGGGTTCCTGCACAAGCTAAACATTGGGCGGGAACTTCAGGGGGAAAATGCTTATATTCTCAAGTTCAACCTAAGTCATGCCCTAAAAAGCAATCTTACTAGGTCTCTAATAATTCAGTTAAAACTGGACAACATTTCTGAATGTGGGTCCTTCATTCCTATGTACAGAAGAATCCATGGGGCAGTGGAAGATATTTCTAAATGCTCACTCCTCTGTTTAAGTAGATAGATAGACCATCAAATAGGTTTAAGCAAAACAGAAGAGCTCTAATATTTCTTCCCCCTCTACATCAAAGAACTTTCTGGTTGGCGCTACTAATAAAAGAAATGTACTTGACAATGTTTTCGAATCACCAAATCGGTGATTGTGTTGATGACAATCTTTCCGTGAGCTGGATTCTATTGTTTTAATTAACTGAATGAATAAACGTGTCTTCTAAGGGCAAAACATCCTTCTGTTTTGCATCAGCTTCTTTGAGGTCAAGTGATGGGATGGCTGAGAATCAAGACAGCCACTCCTAGCGGAGGCCAAACCCCAGCCCTGTGCTCTGCAAGCCCTTCCCTGGATCGGCATCAGTGTTTAGTTTCAATCAGAAATCAAACAGCTTCAACCGGCAAGAGGACAGATGGGAAAGAAGCCACTGCCAAACGAAGGCGGGCTTAGGAAGCGAGGTGATGGCAGAATGGAGCCCGAAGTCATGAAGTCAGGAGCAGAAGAGCGGGAAGAGCGCCAGGCCCCACGGAGGAGAGGCCATAATGCTTGACTGCACCTCACAGAAATGACAAGGCCGTCCCGGCGACCACCTCGGGACTCACAGACTTCTGGTGGATTCTCAAGAGAACCCTTTTAGTGCAGCGGTCGACCGTGGCGGCCCACTTCCTCTTTGTCTCCTCGTCCTCCTCCAGCAAGCAGCGCCTCAGGTCCTGCCTCTCGGCCTTGCTCAGGGTCCTGTCTGAGGCCGGCCGCACTAGCTGGGTCAGGTTCAGGTGGCTGTACAGGCTCCGCTCCACCACGTAGGTGATATTGAACTCGCTGACCGCGGGACGCCCGCGCGCCCGCCTGCTGGGGGCGCCACAGCCCCCGCCCCCTTTGGGTTTCTGCCGGAGCAGCTGCAGCTCACACGTGCTGCTGTGGACTCCTCTCCTGGAGGGACGCTGGCAGAGAAGAGCTCGGGAACACGAATAATTAGTATCCGTTTTCTTCAAGCGGATCTGCTTGCGGACACTCTGAACCTCTTCCAGGGACACCAGAAGGTGGTGCCGGCGCCGGTGGCTGTCACAGAGGCGGACGCCGTCGGTACTTACCCCGTGGCTCAGGGACCCGAGCCCTTTCTTCATCTCCCCCTCAGTCAGGGAGCGGGAAACCTTCTGGGCCTTTTCTTCTTCGGGATAGGAGAAGAACGTCCCCATCTTCTTCGGGGGCTTAATCAGGCCCCGACTCTCTCCTTTGCTGAAGGTTTTGACCAGCTTCCGGCCAGCCCCCCAGGTATCCAGGCTGCTGGATGATGGAGATGTGGTGAGAGAGTCGGAATCATCTTCTGGAGGCTTCTCAGGAGAGCCATCAAAGAAAAATGGCTTCTTGTGCACTCCGGAGTAAAGGGCGGACCTTTCATCGAGGCCTGGGGAGTTCTCAAACACGTGCTCCTCCCCGCCTGGAGGGAAAGCAACAGGGAGAGGGTCATGGTCTCTTGGAAATACACCTCCACATCCTCTCACCCAGATTTTCCTTTCCTTACAGCCCCTGCCCTACAAAGAATAAACAAATCCTCACGAACGCCACAGCGATCCCCTCCCTGTATCACTTACCCTCTTCGTAAACCCAGCTCCCGCTCAAATAAATGCATGTAAAAAATAAGCAAACTGTGCAAATATATGGTTTCACACAAGCGTAATGTTAAAAGGTACTGGGTGTGTTTTCTTCTCCTTTAAATATCTTTGTAGAACAAACACCTTAAGAAACCTACTCAAAATGCCACTTGGAAAAACCAAGTCAGTCATTATCACCACACTCCTTAGCCCTGAGAATTTAAAGATAACCACCCTTCTCCTCCCCCTCCAAATTGGATAACCCTCCCCCAGTTTGGAAGCACAGTTCTTAGAAGCTAGGACTCAGACTCCTTCCCCAGTCTGAAGGGCCCTGCTGTTGAGTCGGCTTGTTTTTTTACAGAGTGTGACAAACGCCACGTGGCTGACAGTGATTTTTTTTATTGCCACCGAGGTCCTTAAATCACCAAGGCAGTCTGGGTGCAAAGACACCAGACAGGGTCACAGCGTGCAAATGTAACTGATGAATGGTACCCAGGTGACAAGCCAGGAACAAAAAGTTAGGGACCCGGGTATTTCCAGCCAGACATGGCCATCAGCTGGCCTGCTGGAGACAGGAAGGGCATGTAAGGGCCCGGCCACGCAGGCAGCCCCAGCAGGCGGTCGCTTTGTTTCAAGGTTCCAGCTCTTGAGCCCTCCCTGGAGCAAGGTACTGAGCCAGGCCCTCCGGAGCCCAGTGGAAAGGTTTGGACTCACTGGCAGGAAAACGGAGATCTTTCCTGTGTGTGTTATGTGAACAGATGTGAAAAAGAAGTAGGTCAAACTGTGGGTGTAGTGATCCTGACTGGCTGTGTCCCTTTAATTATAAGGAAACTTTTGCACACTGCAGCTTTCCACCAGCTGAACTGTGAAAAGGAAAAAATAAAAAGTTCCTTGGAACAGAGGGATGGCCCTAAACACACCAGCTGGGGGGAGGGTGCCTGCACAAGGGTAGATGTCAGAGCGAGCTGCTTACTGCAGAGAGGGGAAGGGCAGAGGACTGGTAGCATTCCTTTCAAATTCTAAAGGCTTCCTACTTTTCCAACTGGTGGGAGTTATTATTGCAAATGTCACGAAAATCAGAACTGTGGTTATGGAATACAACCCAAGGTTGATTCTGATGTCATGGAGATGGTGGTGGGGGCGGGGGGGTGGGTTTAAGACCATCTCCAGTCTGGAGCTCTCCATCATCTGCAGCACAACTGTATTCCCTGGAGGATTAGTCCTGGATCTGTCACAAGAGTTTAAAAGTCTAGGGTTCTGAGGGGATGTTCGCTGGACCAGCAATAGTGCACAAAAATTGGGAAAGTCTCCTGCTCTTTCCTCAGGACACCAGGCGTACAAGGTATGGAGGCCAAGTGTCCTTCTGCTGTGAGAAGTAAACATGGCAATCTCTTCTAGATCAAATCCACCCTCCACTCTCGGGAAGAAGAGATGGGGCCAAGATGAGAGGCAACACCTGGGGGCAGAGGCAGCCCACCCCAGACTCCTCTACAAATGTGTCCAGACCACAGACCATGGCTTTCCACTGAGCCCAGGTGTCCACGGAGGTGTGCAAGGCCCTCATCTACCCACAGTCTGACGGGGTCTCGGGGAATTCAGGTGGGTCTGCTGGCCATTTTAATGACCTGTTACCCAACAGTGGTCTGGAGACTTTCTGGACTCTTTAGGGCTGGCATCCAAGCTTCGAAGACTTCCATGACAAGTGTGAGTCTGGAACCAACTGGTATGCATCTGTCCACGACCTATAGCTCTGCTTCTTAGTTCTGAAAAGTCTGCACTTGGTAAGAACTTTGGGAAGCTGAAGGGAAAAGTGGCCAATTCTTCCCCAGTCTGCTATGTCAGCCTGTGTGCTGAGGGCAGGCCTTGCCTGGTGGAGTTTCTTCTGCCTGGGTTGGCCCCGATGCCTGAAATCCCAGCCTGGACTTGATTCCTTGGGTTTAGAGCACTGCTGCTCCCATTCTGGCACCTCCAAGTACAACCATCCTTTGGAAGAATGGCAGTCAACACGCAAGGCCCCATCGTCATTCACATCATGACCTTTATCTAACCTCGTCACTAAGATCAGAATGCGGAAGGCAATGGGGCTAGGGTATGGGGTAACTTAACACCAAGGACACAGATCCATGCCCCAATTCCAGCTCTGACTCTGCCACTCACCATCTCCATGATCTTGGGCAATAATTTTATCTGTTTTCTCACCTGTAAAAATGTCTGCCTATCCTAGAAATACATACTGCAAGGCTACTGAAGAGGATAAAATTAAATGAAAAGAAATATGTGAAGGCACTTTATAAGCTAAAAAGCACTGTACAAAAGCTAATGATTCATTCCTGGGTCACATATAAGCTGGGCCAATGAGGGAAGAGGGTAGCTAGGTATAGGCTTTAGGGAAAACACACAGACACACACACACACACACACACACACACACACACAATAAAGGGTAGCTGAAGGGCACTGACCTGGCCTATGGTTGGCTATTGTCTAGGGTCATCCATGCCCTGGACAAAGACTTGACACTCAGTCACAAGGGTGAGACTAGGTGAGTGATTGTATCTCTCCCGGTTCTCGTAGGACTCCAGAGCTGAGGGGTGGGGAAAGAGTGGGAGCAGAGGGGAGCCCATGCTGCCTGGACTGAATTCTGGGCCTTCTGCCAGCCAGCTCAGTGACCCTGATGATTTAACCTCCTGGGGTGTCTGTTCCCTCCTCTATGAAATGAGCATGGTACCGATGCCCAGCTCTGGTGGCTGTTGAGGATGACATATTAAAAGGAACATAAAACCTCAAGTGTACAGAAGAGTGGCGGGCAGTCAGGTTGCCCTCGGCAAAGGCGGATCATCATTCTGACAACTTGGTATTGGCACAGACACGTAGGAAGAGAAAGGCTCAACTCTCTGAAGGTCCTGGGGCAGTGAGGGAGGGCTTATTAGGAATGTGACTCCTTCCTGCTTTGTAGAAGCAACAGTCAAGTACCTGTTCTTCTGCCAATGAGGAACCTCAGAGAGAATGCCACTCCACAGGAGCTGGAGGACAGTTCTAGTTTATGGTCTAGTCGTGGCAGACCTAAGCAGATGGCCTAAGTGGCACACACACCTGACACCTTTCCTGGCAAAGCCGACAAGCCCAGCCAGTGGCAGCCCAGTGACCTGACTCGTCAGACATCAGAGGTTAGAGGGGACTTAAGCGTATTCCCTCCCTCGTCCGCCGGTGGCACCTTGTTCATAACCACATGAAATACAGTTCAGGGCCAGAGGTACATGTAGTTATTACTTTTTACCCTAAAGCTACCCCTCAGGGTCTATTTTTCCCTTTTGTCAACTATGTCTCTCAGAGATAGCAGGAAAGGTAGGAAAACTGCATGTACAGGCAGCTGAGGACGGGTCCAGAGGACCTCACACGTCATTCCCGTGTCCTCATTGATAGGCAAGGCCCAACAATTCATTTGATGTATTTGAGATTTACTTTTGGCAAATGGGGTGCCCAAGGTTGAATGATGGCAATTCTCTATGGTTCTCCTTACTATTACCAATGGACACTATGTGTGTGATTTCATTTAGAGCTGCTGTTGATAGGAAATCAGGTGATATTCTGTACTGTGGAAACCACGACTGTCAAGCAGGGGTTAAAACAGCCAAATGTAAAATCAGCACTGCACCTAAAGGCAAGCAGAATTAGCGTGCAAGAAGACACCCACATGAAACCTGGAATTTGACGCAACTCTGTGAAATTGCCCGTAAGCACGTCTCCCTCAGGACCCCTCCTCCCTTCTTTTCCTTTCTTGCCTCCACGCTCCCCTAGTAATCCCCTCACCTCCAATATTTCTCTAGAGGATTTAAGCTGATAAATAATTACAGCAAACAGAAATTTAAAAGCAGCAATAAAAACAACAGGAAACCCTCACCTAAATCAGGGGAAATCCCAGTTCTCTCCACACCTTGGTTTTATTTATGTATGACAAAAAGGCCTCTCAATGATCATTTTCAAATCTACATGTTAAATTTCTGAAATTCCTCAAACTGTAGATATGACATTTTAACAAGTCACGTGCTTTAAAAAAAAATAAGACCTACTCTTTCCAGTACTTTCTTTTCCCAGTTCCCTTATCATTTTCCAAACAGGAAATCTTCTTCTTTTTTTTACCCTTTTGGGGGAATCTTACAAGGCGCGGCAAATGCACACAGCTCACAACGGGAGTGACGAATATGGGTGAGACTTAAACTGTCCTAATCACACTTCAAAGGTTAACTCTTCACTCCAATAAATCCATGCTCGTGCCCCTCCTGACATTACTGCTTCATCTGACAAGCTGCTCAGCCAGCAATAAAGCTCTTATGTCCCACTTAAAACGGAAGGTCCTTAGAGCCCCATCTGAACCAAGTCTTGAGACTCTCTACAGGAAGAACAAATCATCCCTCGGAGATGTGAAAGGATATTAAGTGCCTCTATTGTTGGATGTTTGTTTGAGATGGATGAATGTCAAATCTGGAATCAACTCAATGGGCAAGAACCGTCATCCTTCGGCCACACGGGTTGCAGCTGGGAAGAACTTACAAAGTTGATGTACAGGGGTGTACACTCAACATTAAAGCTGTACCACACCTTGCAAAGACCTCCTTGTCCCACACCAGCCATTTCCCATTGCTGTGACATGAACAATACTAAGCCTCCCCAGCCACTGGACGCCAGGATCTGGAACGTGCTGAGCCACGCCCTGCTTGCACGCAGACCTGAGGTGTTCTCTGCAGCCTCAGCCGGATTGCAATCCAGCTTCCACTTAAAGTCAGACTCTACTGAGGAGCTGACCCTGCCTGACTTAATTTGGAACAAGCAGGGAGGGCGGAGCGTGCCTTTTTTTTTTTTTTTTTTTACCTTCCGTGCTCGGCTTTCTCATTTCTTCCACTCTGATCAGTTTCTTTCTCACTCTGCGAGTGGAGTTGACCAGCTTGTGTAACCTCTTAAACTTCACCGATTCCTCGGTCTCCTCATCTGATTGTTCTCTTGACTGGCAAAGAAACAAAGGAGAAGTTCATCAGATCACTGCCCCAGAGCCCTCTGCCCTGGTGGCCCATGGCGGGGGGCAGCCTGGTCTCGTGCCAGCCTGAGCTCCAGCAGCAGTGTGGCTGTGCCTGGGGGGCACCCTCCAATTGCCGCCCCCCTCCTTCAGGAAGCTGCACACACCACCCCAGGGCCTCATGCCGTGAAGAACTTGGCCCTGGGCGCCAGGACACACCCCAGGGCTCTGGACTGGCATGGGTCATGTCTGTTTCAGCAGCTGCCCAGGCCTCCTTTAGAAGAACTCAGAAAGGGCGCCCTCCGCCAGGCTGGCCTGGTCATTCCAGCCCCCCTGCTGTGCAGTTTGGGCCTGGCTCTCATCTGTCTGGCCCATCACGACTGCTTAACGTGGTCATCAGCTACTCCTCCAAACCCAAGTTCTGTTGACTTGTTCCAGCCCCCCCACCCCCCAAATCAAAAACAGCAGGGCAGGAAAAGGGAAGAGAGGCAAAAAGCCGCCTTCCGTGCCACTCGCCAGGCGGGTCTGCCACACCTCGGCCATGCCTTCCGCCTCTCCCGGCTCCTTCTGAGCGCTCACGAAGGGCGAGCCTGAGGACAGACCCCTCATTCCTCTGTGAGGGACAAGGGAAAAAGCTGACCTTTTCAGCCATACAGTGCACTGCATATTCCCCAGCATCCCATTTCATTTTTGCAGTGATTCAAGTATGCTCAACCCAGCTGTTTTCCCTCAAGTATCAAACATTACAGAGAGAAAAAAAAATCTCTCCACAGCAGTGACCCCAGTGAAAACAATCCTTTCCTTGTGAACAAAATGAGGGTTTCGGTTCCAAGTCAGCTTGAGCATTCAATATGCAGCTTCCTCTGTTTTATCTGCTCAAAATGTGAAAAAGCAAAAGCAACCCGGGGCTCCAGGGGCCGTGCTGCCTGGGCCGGGGGTTCTGGGGTTCCTGGGAGCGCAGGGCTGGCGGGAGCGTGCGGCCTCCACGCACCCAGGGCAGCCCGCCAGCTGCCCTAACCCATCCCACACGGCCTGGCAACACCCTTCTCTCCATTTCCTCAAAGCTAGTTCACAGAAATAGTAAGGGCAGAAATGCCTCCTATAAACAACACAAAGCAAAACAAAATCCACCCCTCTGAACAACGGGCTTAATAGGAAGCTATTGCGACCCCACCCCCCGCACACACACACACACAAGAAATCGACAATAGAACAGGTACACGAGGGTTAGCAGAGAACAGTGGTTCGAGGGTAAAGAAGGTGGAGATTCCATGAATTAAATGGTGCAGCATGTTGCGAGTCCACAAATATTTCTGTAGCACTGTGGCGCTACGTAAGGCATAGTACAACCCATTTCCTGGCCTCTGTCCTCACCCTGGAGCTCCCAGCATAGGGCCATTGTACTTTCTGACTGCAAGACTATAAGCAAACCATTCACCCACTGAAGAAAAATTATGATAACCCAGAAATGGCAAGTCATCTGGACAGGGGTGATTTCTCCGCTTCCCTTCCGTGAACTGTATTCAATTTTTCAAAAATTCCTTGATGAGATGTTGCATCTCCATTTCAGAATTAAAGTGAACTATTGCTTAGCTGAGCATAAAGAAGAGAAATGGAACCACATGCTGGCAATGGGGTTTAACCTGTTTGGTCTAAAACTTTACAAGGTAAACAATTAAAATGAAACAGGAAGTACAGCTTCTGATACCTGATGGTATTGTTTGGTTTGAATTTCATTTTTATTTGGTTTAACTGTCAATATGTGATGAAAATGGTCAGAGCAGTCAACCAGAGCAATGAGAACTGGGTGAGCCCTCATTCTGGGTAATCAGCACCCGAGCAAAACCATAGTGCATGGAATTACACAGAAACATCTAAAATATTCTGCCTTCTTGATGGCTCTCAAAAGCTAAGCAATTCTAATAGAAGGAGAATCAACATTATAGGGGACAAACCTAGACAAACCTAGAATATGTATGTAACTGTCACATTAAAAAATTCTGAAGTAAAAAATAAATAAATAAATAAGAAGTCAAATGAAAAACGCAGTGAGCACAGGTTGTTTATAAACAAGACACAGGAAGCTATATTAGAGAATGAGTACCAGTTGTGTGTGTGTGTGTGTGTGTGTGTGTGTATCTTGTACCTGGTCTGGGGGTTGTTACTGCTGCTGGCTGGGGGTGGGGAGGGGGCTGTGTGTGCCTGTGCATACCACAAAGACGAATCATATGTAGGAAACATGCCACCTGAGGGAACTTTTGAGGAAGAAATGAAGTAGTTAAACCAGTACAACAGAATTAAAAGCAAAGATCCCTTCCCCAAGTCCTACTTTCCTCTGTCCTGATTCAACATGGTGAAAAATAACATATTCCAGGTACTTGTTTAATTGCTTTCATATGTTCCATCTACTTTTGAGAAATAGGAGCTCTTTAGAACTTTGAACTAGCTTTTTAAAATTTTCTTAAAAATAACGAAGATTTTGGGGGTGTTTGCCACTGACAAATCACAAATCATAGCAACCAGTAACTTTTCATTATCATGGTTTGGACACTAAACAAGGCAGATGGAGCACAATGTATATGAAGAAAAATATAAGAGAAAACCGAAGTCAATCAAGATATATTCTCCCTTGAATCAGCCTAGAAGTCACTGGAGTTAAACAGGTGTAGCCCAAGGTTGCCTTTTTATTGATAGAGAGGTGTTGACTTCTCACTTCCTTCTGAGTCCAGAGGAAAAGGAGTTGTGAAATATTTGCCTTTAAAAAATTCTCTCCAGCTGTTTTAACATAAAGACTCTGTAAAAGTCTTGCATTTCTTCTGAACTGGGGACTAAAGCTTAAATTCCTCATTTCATGTTACTCCTTTTAAATAAGTACACACCACTTCTCAAATACTGAAAATAACTTGTCATGTCTTGTTTTTAATATTTTATTTATTTATTTGAGAGACAGAGACAGCAAGAGAGAACATGAGTGGGAAAGAGGGTGAGAAGCAAAATCCCCGTTAAGCAGGGAGACCGACTTGGGGCTTGATCCCAGGACTCTGGGATCATGACCTGAGCCGAGGGAGGATGCTTAACTCACTGAGCCACCCAGGTACCCCTTGTCATGTCTTTTTATTCAGAAATTACACCTGCAGAGATGACGGTATACGAATTTAAAAATAACTATTTAATTAAGAAGAGTGTGTGTGAGATCTTCACACCTGGAGGAACTTCGGAAAAAGATGAAGGAAATCTGCATTACATATAAAATGAATGGTTGATTCCAAGAAATAGACTCCTAGAATTAAACAGAACTACTAGGAAACGGGTTTTAAATAAACTCAAGTGAAGAAATACCTATGTTTATGCATGTTGTAACAAGACATGGTATCTCCTCCTCTCCCTGTCCTGCCCCAGGTCAGAGGACGAAAGTAAACTTTAACTTGATCATCGTGTAAATGAGAAGGTGAAAACTAAATCATCTGTAGAAAACTCCCCACCTCTAAACTCGAGTCGTAAAAGGCCATTAACGTATTCCACTGAAGGGTGTGGAAAAAAGTGGATTTACATTATGGCAAATAGAAACACTGGATTTCCAGCCTCTCTCTGGCAGATTTTTCCACCAGAAAGCCCATATGGCTCAACTTTTAATTACTTTGGCTAATGCTATATGTAGTAATTCTGTGGTGAATGCTTAAGTGTTTCATTTCTGGTTTCCATGGCAACATGACATCAGATTGCAGACAGCTGGCTCCACAGTTTTAAACCATAACAAATTGACCAAGCCAAGGCACAAAACTATGGCCGCTTTAAAGAGACAGTACACCGTTTGCCTGCCAGGTTGCTGAAGCAGGAACCTATGGGGCCCATTTGGCAGGCGAAGGAGGGTGGAGCCTCCTTCCTTCTCAACTTCTTTTGGAACATGTGCGTCCTTGACACATCTGCAATGTTCTAATAGGAAAGACATGGAGCCAGCGTGGAGAACTTTTCATAACGCAGCTACATGAAGGATTATCAGGAAAAAGGAGCACAATTAATAGCATCTGTAGATAGCAAATGAAAAGCATCCCCTCACTCTCAAGCCTGTTCACTGAAAGTCAGTAACAGATAGATACTTCACTGGACCCAGTTAAAAAAAACAAACAAAAAACATTTCTTGCAACTATGACACACTGTGACAAACGCTTTCCAAAAGCCACAGAGCACGGTCCTGCAGGCAAAGGAGCACTGTTCCATAACAGAAGTTAAACTGAACTTGCAAAGAGCAACCAGAACCCTTTCGGGGATTGCTCGAGACCACGCTGGGCACAGGATAACGTACAACTTTGCCTTTTGCAGAAATACACTCAGCTTGCTTCCCCAGCTCCAAACACTCAGCACACTGTCCCAATTAACAGCCAGACTTAAGTCCGTGTATGTGCCCTGCAGCCACACACATAATACTATGAGATATTTAAGTATTCCTGAACCTATCCTGAAACTTGAAACGAATTTGCTTATGAAATTCACACAACGGCTCCTGGTTAACCGGGTGCATAACCAGACACAGATGCTTCCACTTCCCAGATCCGTACTGTCAGTGGCATGAAGCTTAAGGGAAGGAAAGGAAGCCGATCGATCATGCAAGCCTGTCTGCAGTCAAGCCCTCCACACTGAAAGCCTCCACGGTTGACAGCTGAGCTCCAACCACACACACTCAATCTCTTGAGAGTCCAACCACGCACACTCAATCTCTTGAGAGTCGTTTCATTCTCAAGAAAGAATATTCATTCCTCTCCCCCCAACGCTACATCTTCGTCTTGGGTGAGCATGCTAGGAAAAGAGTGCTCAGGGTTACACAGCAGGGAAGGAGAGAAGGACCCATCTTCAAGAATGTGCAGAGAAAAGAGGAAAGCCATCAGAGCCAGGAGCACCCGAAAAGCCTCTCCCTGCAGTGACAGCAAGCGCGTTTTTCCCCTCGCGGGGAACGCAGCCGGCGGACTTACCGGCTTCGGCATGGAGCAGGCGTG